TAAATTTCGGGAAACTACAGACAGTTGAACAGTCCATGATTTGTATACGGAGATAAGAGAACATTGTCTTTCCATTAGAGAAAAATGTAAATAAAATGTTCTGCAACAAAGCAAGAAATCTTAAATTGGTCCTTAAGTGTAAAGTGATGAAAGTGAAATTTTTAAAATTAAATTTTGGTTTTTTTTGACGATCGAAAAATTTAAACGATTTCTGCAAATGAAGCGTTTTTTTAAAGTTTAAAAAGTACTGCTTTTAGCCGAATAAAAATTTTAAAAGTTGGTTTTTTTTTTTGAAAAAAATTAAAATTATATTTTATGGTATTTTAATTTTTAAAAAGGCGAAAATATATGCACACAGAAGAACCCCAATAAACATATAATTTGCAGTCTTACAAATCTTTTAACTTTTTGCCCATAAACTTTAAAAAAATCTTTCAAGTATGTCCCCCAAGTGTAAATATTTTAAAGGTCGGAATAAGTTTATATCTAAAAGATAATTGTTAAATTTGTCCAATTTATATTCAATCCCTTTAAAAATTTGTAACCCCCGAAATTTTCTAAAAAAATTCATCAGATTTTCAGTTACGCTCAGTTGATAAAAAAACGGGACAAACTTTTAGCAGTTTTATATTTTGTCCCAAAAAAATTTTTTATTGATTATTAAAATTTAAAAATTTTGTAATTTTTCAAATTTTAAATTTTTTTTTAAATAGTATGGTCCTGTTTTGGGATACATTTAAATAAAATCATTTAAAAAGAACTTTCGTAAAATTTATTGTGAAACTACATAATAAGATTGAATGAAAAATATTGTAAATTGCTTTGATGTTTTAATTAAACGTTTTAAAGCAATTAATAATGAAATATGTTTTCCTAAAATTTATAAACGGTAAATTTATGTTGTTTCCACAAACTAATGATTGATTCTCAAAAGCTTTTTTTATCGTTGAATGTCTTTGTTATTTAACACACATTGTGAGAAAAAAGTTCCTGCACAAGTTAACATGGTGCTGCTTTAACAAGGGATTTAAACGTTTAACATTGATTTTGTGCACGCTCCATTTATTCTTTCTATTCTATACCCCTCTTTATCAAAACACTGATCACATGCACGCAGTGTTCCATTAAACAATTAATATTCAGTTGCTTTATTTTGTTCTAACGAATATCCAATTTGTCATAACAAGTCATAATAATACATGTCATAATATATAAAAAGTGTATATAATGTTCCAGTTGTATTTCTTGCATCACATACGCATAAAATGTTAAAATGAATACACACACAATAAATAATAATTGATATCAAGTTTCAGAGTATAAGAGAAAAGTCATTTTAATAAAATCAAACATTTTCAGTGTCACCAATTATATATTGATCACAGTTGTACAAAGTTAGAAGCGTTGTGTACCTTTTAATGTTAAGAGCAATTATGTGTGTAATTCACTTTGCATCACATACATCCAAAAAAGTCCAAACAATCCTGTATTTTTTTAGCTCGAGCGTCGGCGTCGTCGTCTGCGTCGGCGTAACCACTTATGTTAAAGTTTTTTAATACCTCAAATATTTTCAAAGTCCATTGTCATATTGCTCTGAAACTTTGCACACTTGTTCACCATTATGACCCCAACCTGTAGACAGGAGGAGGTAACTGTATCAATCATTTTGACAAAATTATGCCCCTTTTCGGCTTAGAATTTACATTAAAGTTTTTGTAATACCTCAAATATTTTCAAAGTCCATTGACATATGGCTTTGAAACTTTGCACACTTGTTCACCATCATAACCCCAACCTGTACACAGGATTGTATCAACCACTTTGACAGAATTATGCCCCTTTTTCGACTTAGAATTTACGTTCAGGTTTTTGTAATACCTCAAATATTTTAATAACAAAGCTTTTTTACTAACAAGCACAAAGAATAGTCGAGCGTTGCTGTCCTACCGACAGCTCTTGTTTAACTTCTTTTAAACGCAGTTCAGGAATATGCATGTAGACATAGATTTTGCATGGCATTTTAGATTTTTAGAAATTAATCATTAACATAATAGAAAATATAGCCAGCACTTCCTAAGTCTGACCAGATTCTATACTATCTTATTGGCTGGCCAACTTCGCAGCGCTATCTCGAATATCTAAAATCAGTAATTGAGTATTTAAAAACTAGAATCTGAATCTTGGCAAATTCTTTTAATAATTGAAGGAGGTTGAGAGTGTTCAAATATAGGACAGCCAACAAAATTATCTAAGCAATGCTCATCATTTGAGCCGCGTCACGAAAAAATAAAATAATGGGTTTGCGACCAGCATGGATCCAGACCAGCCTGCGCCTCCGCGCAGTCTGATCAGGATCAATGCTGTTCGCTATCAGTTTCTCTACTTTTAATAGGGTTTGTAAGCGAACAGCATGAACCCTGATCAGACTGCGCGGATGCGCAGGTTGGTCTGGATCCATGCTGGTCGCAAACCCACTATGTTGGTATTGTCATGACGCGGCTCATTTTAATATTCACACGATACCCGTGTCGTATACATAACTTTTCAGAGTTTAAGAATATACACATTAAGTTTATAACTATTTCTTTAATTCCACCCACTGTAAGTAAACGCTCAATGTACAATCTACTCAATGCTACGAATATTCAGTCTATACGAACACGAACAACACTTTATCAAAATACTTTTCTGTCAACTGCCCTGATTAAATGGAACGCCCTTCCTAGTGAAGCATAAAATTCACGATCACTGCGCTCTTTCAAATCCCAATTGAGAAGAAAAAGCTCAAAATGTCTGATTTATTTCTATATCTCCTTTTTGTCATTGTTGCATAGTGGAGAATTATAGCCACGTTTCCTTAGTAAAACGCTATGTTGACAGCTGTATGGGGCCTGTCTACTTAACACTACACGTTTATTTATTATTTGTTCAGCAACTATCAAAACTTTGTTAAATGGAGACCCAAACATTGGCGATGATGCAAACAGAAGACTGTTTTAACCGTTCATACCTATATCCGAGAAAGCAGGACGTTGTCTTGATCATATTCACATTTACTCACATCAACTGTATGGTTCCTATTCAAATTGTCGAACTATCCGAATGATCCACATTTTAGTTGTTTCTTCTTTTCTGAAAGTTTCTCCCATATCATATTCCTCTTTGTCTAAATTTAAGTTCTTTTTCTTTAATGCTATTTAACAAAATAATGCGGCTTTGTGCTTTAAGTTTTTTTATTTGTTTATAAATTTTGCATTAGAGTTTTTTTTAATCAAGCCATGTGACTTGAACGAAAAGTTTTTTTTCCTAAGACTGCCTGGTTTATTTATTTTGAGGACATTTACAGAAAGATGAATGAAAAACTCAAAACGAAGAATTAAAAATTTTGCCTGTATCTCCCTTTAATGTAAGAAACAATCTTGACTTTAATTGCTTAAAATATGGATGTAAAATCAGATACATTTCACGAAAGTCACATATACTGTCACACCGTATTTTATGCATTGTAGGAAACCTTTATAAGCTTAGCTTTCGAACCAAATCCTTTACAACAATTCATGTTTGTATTGTGTTTATTAATACTTTGTATTTATTGTGTATATATACTGTGAAGTTGTTTGATATAAACTATGTTTAAAGTAACTATTTCCTTTGTTTAAGACTGATTAAAGTCAGATAAAGCGTTTTTAATATTTATTGTTAAATATTCGATAAGAATCTTTTTTTCATAAAAACATCAATTTAATCAATGCTCTCTTCTTGTATTTTTTTACTTAATTATAACTACTGTCCTTTTACTTTTGTAGATTTAAATTATAATACACCACCTTGAAGCTGCTACTATTCCTACTTTCATTGACTCAGTAGCTGTTATTCTTATAACCTCATCTGCAGCGACTTTTTTAATTTCATTCAGTCTCCGTTGACCGAAATCCCTTTCCCCAGAAGCCAAATCTTGAGCTACCATTTCTATAGCCGCTGGTACCCATACTGGAATTTCATCATTTAGCCTTGAGAGAAACGGAAAGGCAGCCTCTTGTGCATAGAAGACAACAGTTGAACAGTTGTTTGTCACGAAGTTGTAATCTGCCATCGCCTTGAAATGTGTCCACCACCTAACGTAACATTTTGCTCGTCTCTTGACACGTTGATCTTGTATACATTAGGCTGTCTATCGCCTTCTGCAACAATATCGTTTACAAGTGAATCATTTGGCAAAGCTTTTACCCTAGGATTGGCAGCAGTACATGGCGTTTCAGGCCACCAACTGATGTAGGTACCATCACTCAATTGCAAGGAGCTATGTCCAACAAGTCCTCTATATGGGCGCCAAATGTATACAACAATTACTGTAAAAATGAATTTTACCATAAAAATTGGAATCGATTATGTTATTTTTTACTTACTAAAAAGTATTATTTCTACAATAAAGGTTCCATGAACTGTAAAAACAAACAACATCAAGATTTTGACTGCTAATTTATCGATCGATCAATAGTCAATTTGTTCAATGAATAGCATATATTTTCTCAAATTTTGATTATTTGATGATTTTGATTTAAAGCAGCATGCTTCCAGATTCATTTAAATGTTCATGAAAATTTTTAAAATATATTTAAATGTAAATTATAAGTGAAAAAAAAAATTAACGGCATTTACAATCCACGTACACTTCCAGAAAGAGGTCAAAAAAGGTCCCTTACTGCGACGTATGATGGGGAATTTTCAAAAATAAGTTACTAAATAAGTCGCATTATTACTTGAATATTTTTACTTTCGTAAAGTATTAGTACTCTCAGGTTTGATTTTCTTGAAATATTTGGCTTTCAGCTTTTAGTTTAATTGTCTAAGTTGCTAATTAAGAAAAACGAGAATGAATAATAAGAAATATCAGATGAATTGTCAATGTGTAATAGAATGTCTCAAACTTTAGATAATACAAAAAGAAGTTTTTTCTTTAATATAGTTAACCACGTTTGAATATGAACAAAAATATTTACCAGGCATTTTTGTTGTTCAGTCTGAAAACGTTTAATTGTTACTGTTATCTTAATAATCCCAACTTTAGTTTTAAATTTATTTGCCTTTTTGAATTTCAAATTTTTTTTATTTAATTTCCTTATTCAAACTGTTTAAAAACAATTATTCTTTTAAATTTACACAATGCGCACTTCTTAATGAGGAAATTAACTTTTATGTGTGGATACTAAAAGGTTTTTGTTTCACTTAAACATGTTTGTTGTATCGTCATACACATTAAATACTTATTTGTTTATTTTAATCATATTGTATTAAGTACATAAACATATACATATTTTTTCACAATAAACACATCATAATTACATTATATTTAATATACAAAAGGTTTGGGCCTATAACAACATTATCAAGGCCCCTCCTCTAAAAAGCCTGTAATGTTGTTTGTTTTTTAAACAAAGACATAATTATAATGTAAAGTATGCCTTAATGAATTTGAATATGAGATAATGAAATATTTATTACAGAAAATTTCAGAAAAAACTTTATAAGTTTCCTTGTATATAGATAACCATTATAGATAGCCGACTATTCCCAACAGCGGTTTTTTATAATCATGATAATGGATTTTGACAGTTGACAACAGTCTTATCAATTTGTATAGTCTTATAAAAACAAAGTAAAAAAAGAAAAGCAAATTTTGTAAAACTTTCTTAACCTTTTCATTTCTTTAATAAAATGATGCACATGTAAAAATAAAAGCATGTTTTGAGAATCATTTGACGTTTTTATACCAAAGGTAACTTTTGTGTACTGAGAGGGTGAATTTCATTCGTATATATAAAAAAGATCTAGTACTTGATCACTATATTTTTGGCATTGGAATGAAAACTGTTCAGCGTTTATATCAAAGCACCGCATTGACAAGCCGGATTTTGAATAATATGATTGTTATATAAGGCTAAATTTAAACCTCTGCAATTATTCCTAAGGTGTGTATGATGTGCTGTCGGTGAACGCTCACCGTATTTAAAGAAATACTGAACAATGGGCGGTTTATACATTTCTTTTAAGTTTTCCCTTAATGTTTGCTTAAGTGTCAAATTCTCTAACATCTATTGATAATTCATTCCAAAGCTGTATTGAAAACCCCGGAAGACAATGCTACAAAAAGTCCATCAACATACATCCTTAACTGTAAATAATTTCCTCTTTTGATTTTAGATTTCTGGAATGAATGAATACTTGCTTTTGAAAAGGAAGTGGAAAATTTTCTCGTTGTCGAAATATGAAAAGGACACGATTTGGAACCCCAAAACAAAAAGGAAAAAAATTTTCTGTGTAAGAACTAAAAAACTGGATAGGGTAGACAAAGAATCTATTTTTTTTCCCTCAAAACTGTAAAAACAAATTCAGCCTATTCTCATTTGAAATTATTTGCTTTTATTTTTCTTTTCAGATCACGTTTTCATAAAAGATTGTTATATAAAACGGTCAGTAAAAAAGGACAACACATGTTTTTTAAAACTATTTGGGGGAGTAAAATTGTTTCAGAGGCTAAATGGAATATCAACCTTTTTATTTTTTGTTCCCAGCAAAATTTAAAATTTTGGAATTTCGGGGCTAGAACAAAAAATCCAACAAAATATCCGACTAGGATACTCAATATACAAACAACACTACCAACACAGACTGGCAAGTAAGTTTTCTTGTGTTCATTTAGCATGATGAACAGCTTGCCCGATTAAGAGAAATACCCGAGGTAACTAGTGTTTTAAGGTCAGCAATGCCTACATATATTATTTTTAATGTCCTATCCCTTCCCTGCCTTGGAAATGATGTCGTACCTTGAGCCGTGCAAACATCTGAAGCTCTTAGATGAAAATCAGTGCAAAGGTAGGGCATTTCACCCAGCACGTCTGTGTCCTGTTTTCTGTTAATTGATCTGATAATGAATTTGCAGTGTTCTGAAATAACAGGGCAATTTAAGGGGCACCGAATGGGAATTTGTAATACAATTAAGGATAACGGTCATTAAAAAAGAAAGGGACTGAATATTTATTTAAGATATGTACATTCAGAAGGCAAGAAAATGTTGATGTTATTCTATAAAAATAATGAGTGGGTATAACATGGGGCATGATATGAACGGGCAAGTTGGTGTCAAATTGGCAGGCAGTTTATCAATCAAAAACCAACGAATAGTGTTTAAAAGCAGTTATGCAATCAAAGGTGTGTTGAAATCAAAGTCTGTAAACTGAAAATTTCAACAAATTAATCAAGTCTTTTTTATGCTAATACAACAAATGCATATATGTTTTAAAAATATGATTTAGAGTGAATTTGATCGATATTAATTGATGGACACCTAAAATGTACACCATATATGTCTGCAATCTTTTTGTTTTCTTTCTTCACGGATTCTAAAGAAATCCTTTGATAAAATTTCATATTATTATGATATGAAATTTAAATATAAAACCTTACACCAGCTTGATTATGTTTCTCTTATTCACAGTCCTTTTACTTGCACAAACAAACCTTGTCTTAATGATTAACAAAATAAAGTTGAGACGTGTGCATCTCGCTGATACGGGTAAATAAGATAGTTCTAATCTCCATTTGCTTATCTAGTATATGTCCCAAATGTAACCATTTGCTGATAACGTACTTGGATTATAAGTACTTTTCTTTAATCTGTTTAAGTATTTCATTTTGATCAATGAATATTGCAAATAAAAAGGTCAATGAGTGTAATTGTGTTTTTCTAAACATCTTTAATAGAAGATAGCGATGTCAAAACTCTATATAATTTTAAGTATAATAGCTTTAAAGAGACAAGGCAATGTTTAAATACTGATAACAGATTATCGTATGCCTACAATACCCTAATATCTAATTACTTATATAATCTAGTCGTTTTGTTAAAATTAGCATTTTTGAAATTTTATACATGTATGACGGGCATCAATTTTTAACGCTTTGTTGAATTTTTTGCAAATCGACCCCATGCTCATTTTTTCTTACATAGCATAAAGTTTATTTGTACCAAGTGTTGTGCTTTTCCAATTTTCTGGACTATTTGCTCATTAACTGAATATAAATTAGATCTTGAAAAATTTGTAATCATTCAAACAAAGAATAATAAAATGAAACAAATCTGCATACTAACAAAACATAAAAATCAACAATATCTATGTATTCGATTATATGTTTTGTTTGTAAGAGAACAATCAAACGTCCTAAGTATTCATCAAATAGCAGCTTTTCCCTATATCCCTCTTTATCAAAACACTGATCACATGCAACTTGTTCCCACGCAGTGCGCCATTAAACAATTAAGATTCAATTGGGTTATTTTGTTATATGTCATAATAATATATGTCATAACATGTTCTCAGTGTACATATGCACAAGTAGCATTTCTTGCATCACATACGCATAAAATGTGAAAATGAATACTCACATAAGAAAAAGTAATTGATATCAAGTTTTAGAGTACAAGACAAAAGTAATGTTTCTAACATTAAACCTTTTCAGTTTCACCAATTATACGATATTAATTACAGTTTTACAAATTTAGAAGCGTTGTGTACCTTGTATATGTTAACAGCAATTATGTTTGTAATTCCCTTTGCATCACATACATCAATAAAGCCCAAACAATCCTGTAAAAATTTTTAACATCACAGTTCATGAATTCTGCTGCACAGATACTGCATGGCAATTTAGACAGTCAGAAATTAATCATGAATATAATAGAAAATCAAGCCAGCAAAAATACAGGACAGACAGACAAAATTGTAGCAATGCTTATCATTTAATAGAATTCATTTACAATATACACTTGCCACTGCATAGACATAACTTTTAAGATTTCAAGAATATACAAGTATGTTACTTTAAAACTGTATCTTTTGTTTAAAACTGATACAAGTCAGATAAAGCGCTTTTAAAAATTCGATAAGGAAGCTTTTTTATCATATACATCCAACACTTCTTGTATTTGTCTACTGCATTATAACGACTGTCCTTCTACTTTTATAAATTTAAATTATATTACAAAACCTTGAAGCAACAGTTACTACTGCTACTGATCCGGCTTTCATTAACCCATTCTTTGCTATTCTTGTTACCTCATCTGCGGCGACTTTTCTGATTTCATCAATTCTCCGTTGACCGAAAACCCTTTCCCCAGAGGATAAATCATGTGCTACCATTTCTATAGCCTCTGGTACCCACACATGAATTTCATCATTTAGCCTGGAGATAAACGGGAAAGCAGCCTCTTGTGCATAGAAGACAACAGTAGAACAGTTGTTTGCAATGAAGTTGTAGTCTGCCTTCGCCTTGAAGGCTGTCCACCACCGAACTATAGCATTTTGCTCTTCATTTGATACTTTAATCTTGTAGGCATGAGGTTGTCTATCGTCTTCTTCAGCAATATCGTTTTCAAGAGAATCAATGGGCGCAGCTTTTGCTCGTGGATTGGAAGGACCACAGTCTCCTTCAGGCCACCAACTGATGTAGGTACCATCACTCAATTGCAAGGAGCTATGGCCGACAAGATCTCCAGATGGGCGCCAAATATATACAACAATTTCTGTAAAACGGATTTTTTCCATTAATACATGGGAGCACTAATGTTATTTATTTACTAAATGAAAAGTGTCATTTCAGTGTACGGAAAAACAAAAAAGTCACCAAACATCAAGATGTCGTTTCTTTTCCACTGATGAAATAGCAAAACTTTACTTGTAAAAACATAGTTTGTCTAATGTAAAATTTCATGAAAATTATGAACTGTTTTAAAATGATAATGGTGTGTGCGGAAAAAGAAAGGAATTTTCCACATTGGAGTCGTGCAGCTTTAAGTATAATAGCAGGAAATCAAAAACGAAAACGAATAATAACTAGAACTGCCACTATCATGGCGTGAATACCCCCGCATACCACTTTGTCAGAATCAACAGTGGCCATTTAAAGCTCAAGGACAACCTCCCTGCCAAATCTGAGGTTACTAAGCCAGTGCATTGCTTTATGTATTCTACGTGCTTCAAATGTGAAAATGTCAAAAACAATACACTGCGGACAGGCATTCTTAAGCAATTGAGGGGAAAATATGTGTGACCTTGACCTTTTAGCCAGTGACCTGAAAATCAATAGGGGTCACCTTATGGTCATGACCAACATCCATGCCAAATACGAAGACTGTGGGTCAAAGGAATCTTAAGATAATGGGTGGACAATCTTTTTTAGTCAAGGCCCCTGTGACCTTGACCTTTGACCCAGTGACCTAAAAATCAATAGGGGTCACATATTAATCATGACTAACCTCAATGCCAAATATGAAGACTGTGGGTCAAAGGAATATTAAGTTATTGGGCAGACAAACTTTTTTGATGTCAAAGTCCTGTGACCTTGACCTTTGACCTGGTGACCTCAAAGTCAATAGAGGTCATCTACTAATCATGACTAACCTCCATGCCAAACATGAAGACTGTGGGTCAAAGGAATCTTAAGTTATTGGGCGGACAAGCTTTTTGAAGTCAAGGCCCCTGTGACCTTGACCTTTGACCTGGTGACATCAAAATCTATAGGGGTCATCTACTAATCATGACTAACCTCCATGCCAAATATGAAGACTGTGGGTCGAAGGAATCTTAAGTTATTGGGCGGACAAGCTTTTTGAATTCAAGGTCCCTGTGACCTTGCCCTTTGACCTCGTGACATCAAAATCAATAGGGGTCATCTACTAATCATGACTAACCTCCATGCCAAATATGAAGACTGTGGGTCAAAGGAATCTTAAGTTATTGGTCGGACAAGAAAAAACCGACGGACGGCCGGACAGACGGACGGCCGGACAGCCGGACGGACAAGCTGATTCCAGTTTACCCCCCTTACAACTTTGTTGTGCGGGGTATAAAAATGCTAGGTATAAACAATAGTACCTCACGAGTAAATATGAAAAAAAGTATTTTACCAGGCATTTTTGTCGTTCAAACTGAAAGCGATTTTTGGCACTGTAATAATTCCAATATTCGTTTTATTTTTTTTTTCAACTTCAATAAATGTTAATTTACTTCCTTATTTTAGAACGAAATATGAAGTTTAGATATAACATACTTTACACAATGGAGTTAGTATCGAATTCCTTAGTTAAACTTCATACATTGATTATTGGCGTCCGCGCCGAAGCGCGGCGCGCGCGGCGCCCTTATGCAATCAAATCAGATTTTGTGAAAGGGCGACAGCAACTTCTCGAGCCTTATAGTCGGTCATGATAAAAGCCGATCATTCCGATCGGTATGAGGGTGCTTGATTAAAAAAAAATGTCTCGATATGTACAATGAATAGCGAACTGGAGAATTTCGCAATGCATGAAATAACATTTTACGTCTCTTCGTTTTTTTATTTATCATTTTGTAGTACACAGTGGGTTATTAAGGTACGGAATTCCATAAACGACAGCCTCCTGCTTACTGCCTACTGCTAACTGGGCAGCATGCTGCTCACTGCCTACTGCTTACTGCTAAGTGACAGTCTAAGTATATGTATGGATCAATTACGAAGTATTCCGAATGTTGACACAGGTTCACCCGCCATTTTGTTGAACTATCTCCTGAGGTTAATTTTACGGAAAACAATGGATAGTAAATTAAAAAGGATGATTATATAATTAATAATCCTAATAATTTGTAATTTCGAATTCATTGCAATGACTTGTGTAGTCCCACTCTTGCACACTGCTTTGATTATGTTATGAAATGATTCCACGTGCCTCATTGCACAGGTGATTGATAAATTGTCAAATATAGGACTCATTTCAGGGTAATCAACTTATTAATGAATTATTCACAATGAATATGTGTTCAACATTCAACATTGAAGGGCTTGAGCCCACTATACCTTGTTGAGAGGCGGACATCTGGACCATTATGTCAACACCTACTGATTTTTGTATACGTTTTTATACACGGTAGGGAATCACGTGACTTTTACGGTTACGCGTACAGACAATATGGCGGCCTAAAAACCTCGCTTCACATGTGTTTTTCAGGTAATTCTTTATTATATCCCTTTTACTTACATACGAGACCTGTTGCAGCCTACGCGGAATAAAGAATTGTTGCCGCCTATACCTTAGTTTCCACTCCTGTGCTCATAGCTTTTACAAACACTCAAAGATTCAACAGAAATTTTCAATGTGAACAATTATATTTCGGGTAACATTCACGCAAAATTTGTATTTTTTTATGAATTTGATTAAACTACGTCGAGTAAGCAAAGAGAAAATGTTCATATAATTTCTTTATTTGAAAATGTAAATATTAGGCATGTTAAATGTTGACAGGTCATCTTCTATTCATTACACGAGAGAAAAAAGGATGTGGTAACTCCCACGCATACTTTTATTGTTGATACTCCCACGCAATATTTTATGTGCAGGCAATATCTATGCAGGTTATAGCCTAGATATTGATTGAAAAAAATCATGATTGATGCATTTAGCATCAAAACTTTCATAGAATTTTGAATAATATTAAAAATACCGCCAAAAGGTCCTTGATAAAGTATCCCAGCAGGCACATCAACGGTGAACAACGTTGAAGTATGGTCAGATTTCAACGTTGAAATAACGTTAGATTTATGTTCGAATTTGAAAGTTTAAAAAAAACGTTGAAGTTCAACGTTGGCACAACGTTGAAGTTTCAATGTCATTTCAACATACTTTAATTCTAATATAAAGCAAAGTACTGTAACAGAGTTTAACAAAAAAATCAAGACACTTTTAAATACTTCAGCTATTTTATTTCAAAACTACAGTTCAAGTGTAGCTTTAAATTCAAACGATTTAAGAGGTCCTTTTAGTTTAACAATTAAGCTACAATCTGTTCCAATCTACCACTAGTACTTCTTCTAGAGCTCTCTGGGTATGTCTTAAGTGTTTCATGATGGTGTTTGAATACTTCTACTGCTTCTGCAAATAAAATAAGAAGTTACTAGTTGACTTGGTCAATCTCAAATTATATATAATTAATCAACTTAGTGATTTGTTTTATCTTAAAATGCTTATCTTCTAAGATTTACGTAATAAAAAAGCATAGAAATTAAGATACAGCTGAAGTTTCATATTGACAGTAAATTGTGTACAACAGGATCTAGAATATAAAATAGACTTATTATTCCCTATAAATTCACGGCAATTAAACTTAAAATTTAACACTCATCTTTATTATTTAACCTCAAACAGTTTAATCAATATTTGTTTTGATAATGCAATGGATTTAATGTATTTTTCAAACTAATTCACATTTAATTTTACTATCACTAAGATATAAAATGAATACAGCTAAATTGACGAATCGTCTTGGGACGTAAATTATATGGGGCAAACAACACTTCATCTACTTATAGGTTACAATAATATGATAAATAAATTTCAAAAAGGCATGGCTTGTAAAATCATAAATTGCCAAGGACACCAATAACTTCGCGGTAGGCCTACCAAACCCAAATCATTCAATTAGGTCGCGTTTTGATACAAAAGTCTCAAAAAATATTAGAAGGAGGTTTTGTATTTCTGTTTTTATAAGTAAAAATTACAGTTGTCATTTTTCATATTTTGCAGATATGGAAGGTTCCATCTCGGATATTGTTTCTGATAAATGTGGGAAAACATTTTCATTCACGGATAGGTCTCAAATATTGACCACATGAAACAGTCTACACGCACAGGACCTTATAAATGTTGTGGTAAAACATTTTATAGCCCAGCAAATCGGAACGTTACGGGTTTTACTGTTGATATTTAATGACATTCAAACATAAGTCCTAGATTTTATTACCTAGTTTGTAAAATAAAAAGACCCATTCTCAATATTCTTAGGTTTTATTTTTCTTTTATGCTTTAGATTAAAACAAACACATCATAATATGGTTAAATACAGACACTTATTTGAAAAAAGTTGGTTAATAAAAGACTAAGTGATATTTTAATGACTTGAATGTCTTTAAATCTTATATAACGATACATAAAATTGCCATTTACTGTACGTTTCGACTTGCCACAACATTTACAAGAGTCCTGTCCGAGTAGCAGTTTATGTGGTCATTAAGACAAATGTTGTCCAACATTATCCACAAACAATATCCGAACTGGAAACCGTCCATATCTGCAAACTATGAAAAAAATGACAACTGTAATTGTGCTTAAACTGAAATCGACCTCCTTCTTATATTTGAGACTTGTATTTTAATTTCTGCGATTAATTCCTCTATATCAAAACTTCAGTTTAAGTATAATTTCACGTGAGTATGTATTCTGCTATCCATAGGGGCTTTCATTCTATCCAGGCCTCTTTGGTGGTATTTTATCCATCAGAGAGATTCCAGTAATTTTTTTTTCCAAACAGGCACCCTCCGCCAACAAAAAGGGGGGTATTTTTTTTATTTCCCCCCCCCCCTTTCTCATGTCAGAACATAAAATTTTTTTTTGGGTGGACGGGGGCGGAACGGCATTTATTTTAAAAAAAAAGGGGGGGGGGGGGGACTTTTTAAACAACAAAAATACCCGCAATGCATAATCATGATTTGTCCATCAATATCTAGTATTAACCTTTCATAGATATTGCTGCCATAAGAATGATGCCCGGAGTTCATCAACAATTAAAAGTATGACCGTGGAGTTACCAAATCATTTTTCTCCATTTATTGGTAATAGAACACATACCAGTCCAACATTAACATTGCCTAATATTTCACATTCTTCATAAAGAAAGAATTATAATAGATAACATTTTCTCATTGCGTGTAACTCGTCGTAGTTGAATTCAAAATCATCTAAAAAGAATACAAATTTTGCAGTGAATGTTAACCGAAAATAATGTTCACATGAAATTTCTGTTGAATTTTTGAGTGTTTGGTTAAAAGCTATGAGCACAGGGTGGAACTAAGGTATAGGGCGGCAACAATTTCTTTATTCCGCGTAGGCTTGCAACAGGTCTCGTATGTAAGTAAAGGGATATAATAAAGAATTACCTGAAAAAACACATGTGAGCGAGTTTTTAGGCCGCCATATTGTCTGTACGCGTAACCGTAAAAGTCACGTGATTCCCTACCGTGTTTATAGTTTATTAAACTTTCATTTGACAATGTAATAAATTTCTAGGAGAACATCTGTAATATACTGGTGAAATCACTGTTGTATTTCAGGCTAAACATTCTTGTCTGTCATTATCAAAAATGTGTGAGTTCATTTACGAGACTTCATTTGGTTCAGTTTTCTTGGCTGTTATTTTGTGGCGTATAAATTGTGTAATTCCTTATAGATGTTATGTAGTACATTTTTGTTAAGTTTTATTGTACACTTTGATATTTTTAAGGTTAATTATAGAACCAATTTTATTCTATTACAGAGGATGATCAATCTGACAGAAACATTTCTAAGTAGAAGAAAGGCATATACCTCCATCACTGTTGTACAAGCGTTCCACGGATATAGCCGCTAAAAACACCGAAAAGAAAAGTAGAAAGGCTGCACAACAAGGTACATCCAGGTATTGTTTTAACTTATTTCTTCATCATAACTTCATCGACTTTGTCCAAACTAAACAATTTTTTGAAGCTTAATGATTCTAGTTTTAGAACAATATTTGCTTTTGTCTGCAGAATTTGAATACTTTTTGTTAACTTGGCCAAAAAAAATGTAGCGTATTTGTTGACATGTGCGAAACGATCTTGATATTTACCACTAAATCAACCCAAACGCATTTGCTGTATCAAAATTTGCCGTTTTACACAAATTATAGTCATCCCTCTACTTATTATTGAGTTTACAACCCTTCAAACTCGAGCTGCTTTTAACAAATTCGCAAAAAACTGCCTTGCCTTGTGTACAGAGTCTGAGCAAAGATAGAAATCAAATTTAAGTGAACGGGGTGTAGTTAGTTTAATGTACAGGTCTTGTAAGATGTGAACGGGGATTCTAGCAGTCACATATTTATAAAGTATATATTTTTTATTATTTTTAATTGGAAATATCTCGTATCAGACTAACATGGATAGGTTAGAGGGACGATACAGAGGTATTTGAAAAAAATTTAAGTTTTTAGTGTTTTTGAGCCTAACAGTTATATCTGCGTTTAATTTTTATTTGCATACCATCACAACCCATCAGCTGAATAGTGTCTGTCGGTATTTATAGACATGTTGAGGAGTCTTTAACCAATTCGCTGAATGGAGAT